TACTATTCCATAGCTTAATGTATAAAACTACGTTTCACATTAAGCAATATGGAAGGAAAACTAGATGACGTGCCGCATAAATTGTATTTGTCCATATGATTTTCATACAAAATATCGTTTTTGTGTATTCTCTTTTGTGCGGATCTTCTTCAAAGCATAAATGAAGATGAACCGCTCAAAAGAGAATATACAAAAACAATATTTTGTATGAAAATTACATAGACAAATACAATGTTTTATGTGAGTATTGTATGCGAAAGTTCAAAAACTATACAAAAGCGTGAAGTTTTAAACGTTTCGGTAATAGATGGCTTAACAGTGTAGAAATGCCAACGCACTTAAGATATGTAACATATGCATTCTTATGCACGCAATTTTAAACATTCCTCTCTATTAATTGTGTAGTAAAATTAATATTGGTAAGCATTGATGTCGTTAAATTAAAATATTCCTATTCACAGTCTATGAGTGTAACATCAAACAAAACTGTCGACTTGGCTGGTATTCCTTTGGCACCACATGCAGCTTTTTGGGGACAGGTGATACGACGTTGACCTTCGCGTTTCATACCTTCGACGCCAATTGATAAACCCTTTACTCGGTCCTTTGCGCCGATGATTCATAATTGATGTATGTAACCAATTTTTGAGGAAGTCCCCTTTCACGATTCTTTTTCCTTTACCACGTTTCAAATCTTCAATCTGAACCTCGAGTATCAACTTCCCACTATCGGTCGAATCAGAACTTTCGTTCTTCACGTTAATCGTCTGGGATGCTATAAGAGAAAATAAAGAGTGACAATATGATTTTTGCATACTAATATTCACACTCTTATGAATAACATTTTTTTCAACAACGGTTTTTTCGGGTTTTGGTACAGTTTTCAGTTCCAAATGCTAATTTTGGCGTGTCCGTCACTATGCAAAAAGAACGGAATACATTTGAATAAATGCATACAAAATTTACATTCGATTTTCTCACCTGGTAGATATTCTTCATCTGAGATCTTATATAAATCGGCATTCGACAAACTTCCACGATCATCACGATCATCACGTAATTTAACACGTTTTGCATCCTGCGTCGACTCTTCTATAATGAAATTTGTTTTAAAAAATTCACGTTATAAAAATGGTATTATATATTGAGTTGTATACCGTGATGATAGTCATCGAAAAATGATCCCGAATCATTCGATTTTTGTTTATTTTTTTGAGTACATCGAACTTCGAAGGTTGAATGATTTGGTTCGTTTTTAGTTGCGGTAAACGAAGCGAAGCAAATGAATGCGAAAATGGATTCGGCGCAAAAGAATTTGGAACACTGATTCACCCCAATTTTTTTTAAAACGGTAACACAAAATCGTAGCCGTGGTCTATCTGTGACCGAAAACACTGACGCGCTCCCTGATTGCATTAAATCAAACTAATCTGTCTTAAATGTTTTGTGTTGCAACTAACAAATGGCGCTCGCATATTCACAATAACAAAAATCCATTTTAAAAGTCCAAAAAGTACATAAAAATAATTTAAAAAAGTAACAATAAATAAATTTTAATGCAATCAGGGAGCGCGTCAGTATTTCCGGTCACAAAATTAATATGGGAATTCCTATAATAGACCACGGCTATGTAAAAAATGTCAAACTGTTACTGTATTCAAATCCGTTGTTAATAGGCACAGACTTGGCAAAGACACACTCAATACGTCAGATCAACGAGAGTCGTCGTATAGTCAAGTTTGTGTTTTCGTCACATACCGTTACCATTTTTTCACACTTTAGAATCTCGATTTTTTTAAATTTCTTTACATATGCTAGAATTGGAGTGAATATAATTTGTTGTTATTAAAGCCTGCTTTCATTTAAATATAAGTGTTTAAGATTTTATCCACGCGTTGCTGGAAAAATTCGATCGAAAGTGAAAAACATGCTTGGGGGCAGAGTGATACAGCGGTATTTCGCAATGTTTGCAATTTTTAAAATATTTTAATCGGATTTTTTTTGTATTTTATGTATTTTCTCAGTATGAGATTTCTACGCATTCTTTTTTAAATTTGGTTGATTTTTAAACAAAGTTCTAGGTTCAATACGTGGATTTCAAAATTTTCCAAAAATGTAAAGGGGTAACTTTTTCGATTTGGTCTCGCACAAATTCAAAAATGCATTTTTGAATAGTTCATTCCTGGGAGGGGGGCGGTGGTGTCTCAGAGCATTTGCCTCAAAAAACCCTAGCAAATTGAAAGATTTGTCTCTTCGCCCAAAAACACTAGCAAATTGAAAGATTTTCCTTTGCCAAAAAAAAAAAAAAAAATCCCCTAGCAAATCGAAAGAATATTTTTCTCAAAATATGAAAATTTCTAAGGGATTGATTCCCAAATCTGATGTCCATGGGGGTAATCCAACCTTCGGACCCCTGCTCAAAAGCTACGGACACGACCTTATTGATCGCATCATTGATAACTTGGTGCAAAATATCAACCTTTTTATCAAGTGAATCCGAAAATCGATGAGAGAAATCGATATCGGCAAAGTACCTGTTCATTCCAATGATTTATTGATAAAAAATATATGCAGCTATATAAAAATGAACCGAAACAACCGATGTTATGTTTTTGTTCTGACAATAAGAATCAAATATAAATGTCACACATGTTTTCTTTGTGAGAATATTTCATGTTAATTCTGAAACTATTTGTTGTGCTTATCTTAGCATCTCGAATACTCTTTTCGAACATGTTAACCTTTGATTTAACGAACTGTTTATGTCAGCTATTGAAGTGCATTCGTATGGAACATTTAAAAATTGATATTTAAAAGATTCCATATTTGAAAATATAACCAAGTCAAGCATAGCATCATTTCTTAAGGCCAAATATAATATTGGAATTATTGAAAATATCGGTATGAGAGTCAATCATGTATGGATGCTATACACATATATTGACATTGTACCTATAAATTGTTGTCCAAAACAGTGTACAATGTAAAATGATACACATAAAGGTGGTCAAATAAACAAAAAAAATATCAGTGAACCGCAAAAAGTTCAGAATAAACAGCATAAAAATCGAATGGATATATATTTATTTTCGATTATTCCAATTTCAATAATTTTTTTGGATACTCCTTAAATCTTATATATATTTCATTTTTCATTATTCCATAAAATGTTCATAGTTTAATCGAATCTTTCGATTTAAAATATATTTCATGGAAGAATATTAAAAACGAATCAATATGAAAATGAAGTAAATCGTCGAATTATTAATGCCTCATTATGCCCAAGTTATAGTCTATGTTTGAAATTCAACAATGGAGCAATTTATTTTAATACACATTTTGAAAGTGCATAGATATGCGAATGAAAAAAATTCTTATTTACTTTGTAGACTCACTTGCCGTATTGAAAAGACATTATAATAAGGCCGTTCGCTGGCATTGTATGTTATGAAGTGGATTTAATGTACCAATGTATTTACGTTCAATTATCAACATGGGTCATTAATATCACAGATAACAACAAAATTGACCTGCATAAATGAATGAAATTTAATTAATGCGACTCTTGTTATCATTTTGAATTGCATCCATTTTGAAGCAATGAAAGAATTGATGATGTTTTACGCTCTAACAAAGCATTACTTCGTATTTTCAACATTGTTTCCATTTATATAGAGTTATGAACAGTAATTTATTTTATATGTACTGTCAAATTGTATTTCACCGTTGAAAATGGAGTATATTATCATTGGCTACGATCCTTTCAAACGACAAACATTGTAATGCAATGTGCAATTGAATTTCAATGATTTCAAGTTGATCTAGCTAATGGTTTAAAGTCGCTAACTTTTAGCAGAGCCGGAGAACCTGAAATGGAAATAAATTGTGGTTATAATCACTTCTTAACGCATTTATCTTCGTCAACAATAGCAATTTATTTTCATTCAAATTTCTGCGCGTAGTTTAAATCATTTTATCGGTAACACTGTGTAACGTTTCGAATTCTAAAAATAGTTGCATTTTCTAATGAAACGTTGCTTGTGCCAAAATGTCAAGCGCACAACTTCGAAATTCGTTCAGTCTAAGTTCGGTTTCAGTTGAAGTAGTCGAACATAAAAAAAGAGTATATTGTATTTGTTAGAAAAAGTTGTGCGCAAAAATTTTCTCGTTCCCTCTCGCGTTTTGTTGAAGGCAAACGACCGTCACAATTTCGTAATTCATTGTTACTTCAGAGCATTGGTACTTCAGACAAGTCAAAGGAAACGGAACAATTTTGGAGAATGTTTAAACAGATCATTTCGGAAATTGGCGGAACAGTTGCCAAAAATGTGAATAACATAATATCATATAATTTTACGATTAATTTTTTTCTTCATCACACATCAAACTACATTTCAAGTTGCAATAAAAGTGTGAATGTCGCTGAAAGTGGGGAGCAAAGACACTTCGTTTATAGTAAAATTCTCTCCATTGCATTTGATATTGAGTTCTCAAGTGTGTTTTTATTTTGCTGTTATTCAATTGATAATTTTCAAAAGAAAAAATTGGAAATGGACGGTCGTTACTTTTCACTATTTTTTGACTGATCATATAGCAAAGCTTTCGAGCTGACACTCAATAATTAACCAAACTATTTATTAGTTATGAAAAAAGAACAAAAATTTTTCAATAGAAGCAACTAAAAATGTCATTTTATTTCATTCTTTCTATTTTCATTTTCAGCAAGCTGCAAAAACTTATGCAACTCAAGCATCATTCGAAGTCAAAGTGAGTATTTTACGTATGTGCTCGCGTCATACATATACGGTGTTTGCAGAGAATAATAGAAGTAAACAGTGTTTGTAATATGGTTTGAATACATTTGGCAGCTCTGTCGTGCCGTATATAAATAAACTGTATAGTTTGCATGCTTATGTATACATATTGATGAAGCGTTTTGCGGTTTGAGCACACACATCTTTGTAAAAACTGCGATTGTTTGCGTTTTTTGGCAATCTAACATCCACATGCATTACATAGAAAAAGTTGACACGTTTATTGATTTGTTCCTCTTTGAACGATAGAGAATCCGCTGCTGATCCAAAACATAATCAATTGTTCACTAACTATATCATACTTATGGATCTTTTGTGCTTTTGTGCCTTTATAATTTATCGCTAATTAATTTTGTTTCCCAAAGTCATGTCATCAAGTAAAACAATAAACGGTTCATGTGTGTGTATGTAAAATCGTAAAAAATGGTGTATGCATTTTAAATACAGAAAACGCACACTACGAAACAAAATGAGGTAAAACAGCAGTCGCGCTACTATGGCACTCCGGAAAGGAAACTTTCTTATAAAAGTTCTAGATGTTTTAAGTTGAAAATGTTGATAAAAATGATGATGTGTGCGTTGAACAAAGTACATAGAAGAAGAGACAATGTCGTCAGCATAATCATTGTAACAATGTTATTGAAATATGAACCTTTTTCGGCATGTATTGACAACGACAAGTTTCGATGCGCGATGGCAAATCAAATCCAATAGCATCGCACAATGAACAACAAAAAGATATTATCATGTCAACAAGACGCACACACACAAACTCTCTGTTATTCAGTTGAGCTATGCAAATATTCGCATAATTTCTCTCTCACGACTTTAATCTCCTTCTTTTTTTTACTGGAATGCGCGTCTTCATCATTGTCGTCGTGCACTTTGTTTTTTTTTTTCCTTTTCAACGCGTTGGTTCGTCGACTACTGCTGGCATCCTAAAGTGTTTGAGAGAATGTGTGACTTCTTGCAAAACTTAAAATTACATTTTCTTCCATATATCTTTCGTACAACGTTCTTTCTATCACAAACATCGTTGCTTGGAATTCTGTTGGGCACTTTCAAGTTTTCTTCGAATAAAATACATCCTTAATTTTTACACTTGTCAACAAACATTATAATGCTCTGAACATTGTGCGCGTATCGTACAGTATGGTTTTACAAGCACAATTTTAGAATTAAAATTTATTTATTTTGCTGCAGAAATTTATCATGCTCAATGTTTGACGTTTTCGTCGTCGTAATTGTCGTTCGGTGTGATGTTTATTTCGGCGTTTGCTTTGTGCGGTGATGCATTTTAGTACACAGAACATTTCTTCACTCAGTTGTAATACGTTTGCGTTTACAGAATGGACTGGCATTTTGTTAAATTATGTTTAAATTGCTGTATGTGACTTGCTGAAAATGCCATGAAAAACATTGTGAATGTGTGCCTGGCAATTTTTCACCTGCACACATGCACTTTCAGCGATTATGATTGCCCAATGTTCATTGCTACACACAAGCTCATCTGTCACCAACCATATCAACCAATTTAATAGCGTGGAATGCAAACAGTTCGCAGTCATTTTTTACCATTGTACTTTCTGTCCCTTTCACAATATTCGATGTTCGTATGAGTATCGTCATTGCATCCGAAGTTAAAAAAAATCACACACACATTTGGTTATTTGTTGGGTTAAGAGTGTAGAAAATTATCCTTATATTTTCCACATACATGCCGTTACAACTGAACCCAGTCAACTGTACAAACAGAAGAAAGGGACAAAACCACTAACGGTTAAACAAAAATATTATACGCACAACACACAACAATATAATATACCTTTAATCTTCTCTTTAATACTCTTTAATCCGATTTCGTTGTTTTCCACTCCATAAAATCATTTTCGTGTTATTCATAAATAAAAAGTGTGTGTGTGTCTCTATGTGTCACTGTGTTGTGCAAAACATTTTATAGTGGTAAAGACACCACAGTAGAAACACATTGAACAACGACGAAATATGCTGTTGTGTACGCACGCTGTCGAAAATACTCAATTTTTTAGCTTGGAAAACTTCTTCAACTAAAATGGAATTGAGACGTTTAGCCTGAGACCAAGGGAGCGAGCATGCAGACGAATGAATGAATGAATGAGTGGGACAGTGATGAAAAGAAAGATATGGAGTGAGTGGTGAAAAAGCATTGTGCGAATGTGCATCAGGATAAAAGAATTGAGGTAAATCACGTAAAATGTGGTGGTTTAAGCATTATGCCATGTGTATATTAATGCCAAGTCGTGGCCAGGATTCAAGCGAGATCATGGATATATATATAATAAAAGCATTCATACTCTTATTCGCCCAGAAGAACAATGGAAAAAGAAGTGAAAAAACCCGGAGCGCGATAACAATAGTGCAAAAAAAAGAGTGTTTTGTGATTAATGATGATAATTTTTCACAATAATCTATCAAGACAACTGAACTAATGTTGAAACACAAACACAGCATATTGGATACACTTTTAACGCATTTGCCATTGTTGCTGCTATGGCCGTTTATTTCTCAATTTTTTGATAAGAATGTTTGCCATTATTTGACTGATATTCACTTTAAATTCAAGTACGCAATTTATTAAATTTTTCTTATCGCTTTTAATAACTTTAACTTTGTTTTTATGCTCACAACCGACGTCTGTTCAATAATCATGCTGGAAAATTGAAAACAAAAATTAACATCGTATTCTTTTTTCTATTCGATTGAAAAAAAAAAAACAAAAATCCAATAGGACTTCAAGTTGCATAATTTGGACTCAGGACCATCTACCAAAGCCGATGTAACGAGAGAAAATGCGCTCGTATACTACAAACAAATGCAAACGATTCGCCGGTTGGAAACAGCTGCTGGTAATTTATACAAAGAGAAAATTGTACGCGGTTTTTGCCATCTATATTCTGGGCAAGAGGCATGTGCTGTTGGTATGTATACACAAATCGTTTTTTTGTTTGCGTTTTCCGTTCACATATTGATTCATTTCATTTTCGAAAAACAATCAAAATGAATTAAATTTGATGGGCTTCAATACCGATTCGTAATCAAATCGAAATTTCATTTGAAAATTGGTATTGGCTGTTTCAAATAATTGATGGGTTTAATTCCGCGCACATTCTAATTTCATTTGATCAATAAAAATGACAGGTATGAAAGCTGCAATGCGTTCGCAAGACAATATCATATCAGCATATCGTGTTCACGGCTGGACTCATTTGATGGGGGTACCAGTCTCCGGTGTATTAAGCGAGTTAACTGGTATGATTGTATTCATCAATTCGTTTACGTCCAAAATTGAAATATGCTCTGAATTCAAAATCGAATCAATCCCAACAATAAATACGGAACAATTTTTTGGCCTTTAACAGGGAAACAAAGTGGTTGTGCACGTGGTAAAGGTGGTTCAATGCATATGTATGCACCAAATTTCTACGGCGGCAATGGAATCGTTGGTGCACAGGTAATTCGCTTGGTTTAAGTTGGTCACATCTAAGCAAATTACTACAACGTTTATAGAGTATTTTGCAATGAAAAGTGATATGATGATCAGAGTTGAGCATTTAGGATAAGTTAAAATGATACTACTTGTCTGTAATCGAAAAGCGCACACGTTTGCTCACATATGACACATATAAATTCAAATTAGTTTCCACTGCTATTATCATTTTTGTTCTGGCAATGTTCAAGTCTTTGCATATTGAGGGTATCTCATTCTAACTTGATGCCAAATCTAAGTAAATGAATACGCGTAAAATTTAACGATAATTGCATTTATTATGTGCTTTCTCTCTCCCTCACACTCTCTATTCTTTCAATTTCTGCTGATTCAAACAATGATACTTTTCGTTTGTGCTCGTTCTCTCCGCATATACCAACTCTCGTTTAAATAAAATTGATGCAAACGACCAAAAAATGGAATTATTTACGATGATGATGCGCATACGGACGACATGTGAAAATCGATTTCATCCACAAACTATATAGTGCCCATTAGGTGCTGGCGTTGCATTTGCATGCAAATACAAAGGAAACGGCGGTGTTTGTTTGGCATTGTACGGTGATGGTGCGTCGAATCAAGGTCAAATATTCGAGGCATTCAATATGGCTTATTTGTGGAAATTACCATGCATATTTGTTTGCGAAAACAATCAATACGGTAGTTTTAATTTTATCTATTTTTTGAAAAAAAAAAAACATATTGTCATGTGCAAGTACATTTCATGTCATTGATTTGATTGCAAAACGAAAAAGGTATGGGTACGAGCGCTGAGAGATCATCTTGCAATACGGATTATTACAAACGTGGTGATGTTTTGCCTGGAATTTGGATGGATGGTATGGACGTATTGGCCGTTCGCAATGGCTTTGAATTTGCCATCAAACATGCCGTCGAAACGGGGCCGGTGGTCGTCGAAGTGAAAACTTATCGGTTAGTTTTATTTTATAAGTATTTTGGTATTTTTTTCTTTCAAATCAATTTGTTTTCAGTTATTCTGGCCACTCCATGTCAGATCCAGGCACAAGCTACCGTTCCAGAGATGAAGTTCAAGGAGTTCGACAAACTCGCGATCCAATCAATCTATTTAAAGAGCGTATTTTGGATGCAGGTCTTGCGACCGCTGATGAAATCAAGACAATTGACGGTGAAATTAAAAAAGTGGTCGACGCAGCAACGAAATATTGTAAAGCCGACAAAGAAATTGGACTCGAGGAACTCTATACCGATGTTTATTCGAAGAATTTGGTTCCACTCATTCGTGGTTTGTTACCAGATCAACTTCACAAACACAATACACTCAACAGGGCTGTCAATCTTTGAACGAATATTGAATTGAAATTGTAAACTAGATGATTTGCTAATAAAGACATGTTCCGATAAACGAAGTTAGAGGAAAATATTAATGAAACACTTTTTCCAAAGAACAAAGAATCAATTTTCAATCATCCAAATTGACATTATTTTGTGTCTTGTTACTAGGCTATTCATTTTATTTATTTAGAGTTGTATATAATAGAACATCAATATGCAAATACTCTGATAAATGTTGTATGACTGACTAACGATTGCATTACTTACGATACGATACTCGACTCACTTCAACTGCTATACTGTTTGAAAGCCACATGTTGATAAAAAAAATAAAAGAAAAACTTCTTAAAACGTATATTTTGTAAGAATCAAATGTTCCTGAATATAATGCACGTTGTTATCCGCAGAAAACAAATGTGTTCAACAAACAACATGTGCAGTGTTCAACAAATGATACGATTCATATATGTACATTATTAATATCAATAATAACAATTCCGATTATGTCTAACTTATTTCAATTATAGTTTATATGGATTATCTTTACAATCAGGCGAATGTTTCGGTTTGGGTGGAAATTGAAGTGATCTACTTCGCGTCAGACTGGTTTCGCTTGGACTAGGTCGCAAAAACGAATGCGTTGAAATGGTGGAATCACGTTTGGCAACTGGTGCATTCAAATCAGCTGCTGCGTTTTGCTCAGGTTCAATTATAATTTTTGATTGTTCTGCGGAACTTGGTTTTTCTTCGCTTGCTTCGTCAATTTTTATCACTGCCGCCGGTTGTTCATTTTTCGATCTGTGCTTCAACTGAAATTTTCAATCGAAAGTCGTTCAAGACGATATCATTTTTGAAAGCAAAACGAAATAAAACAAGTGAAATACATACACTGAGATGTGATGGTGTAAATGAAAATTTGATGCGACGTTTTTCATGTTTTGGTGGACATGCAGGTGTTGTCTTCAATTGAATTTCTTCCGCATTTTCATTCTCCGTTGCCTAGAGTAATAAAATCAAATCCCAATCACGTGGATCGAATGTGAAAACGAGGGAAAAAAAATGAAAAATGGGCATGCACTTACGATGCTATTGTTTCGACTCTGTGATGTGAGAGTTGCTATTGAAAAACGATTTCGTTTCGCTGTTTCCGCTTGTAAATTAGCATACTCCTCTTTAGAAATTGAGAACCGAGGTCCGCGTTGCATATTGAAAATGTTACCGTTCCGTGATCGACTATAAAAACTTGATGTTGTTCGTGCACTAGTAAATCTCGATGAAGAGATTGTATTTCGCCGAACAGAACGTACACCACAAAATAAAGACTTAACGGTTTTTCGATATTTATCCGATAAAACACAATATAAAATAAAATTCGATGCAGCATTGACGGTTACCAACAAGTTAAACACATTATTTAATACTGAAATGATACAATGATTATATAATTACTGAGTCTATAATTGAATCCACTTCAATCTCTTTTCTTCGAATTTTATACCTAAATTTCGATTTGTATGATACTTCAATCGTATAATATTCAATAATTGCAGGGCATTTGGGGTTTGACACATAAAGAACAGTATTACTACTGCGATCAAGGTGATGGTCACTTTATTCTCCTGTGACATATCCTATTTAAAAAAAAAGAAATATGAAAATATAATAGACCTTTTTTTAATTAAAAGCCATTTACCTTATCGTGTATTAGAAAACTGATAAGAAATTACCTGTCTAGTATTTGTCATTGCGTGTCGCATCTTATGCGATTTTCTTACGGTCCAAATAAGAAATGCATTTAATATGCTCAATAACACAAAGGGAAGTAACGTCCCAAACAAGATGCTAGGATAGTAGAAAAAATTTGAATAGCCTGGCGATTGACTAAAATTCGATTGTTTCACGCTATACGAATGAAGCTGAAAATTAAAAAAAATATTAAAATAAAATAGTTTGCAGTTTAAATATAATTATGAACCTCTTGACATCCATCGAGCTTCGTTTGATTTGATATTTGACATGGTTTACCGGTTGATTCATCAAATCGTGCCATTTTACATATTTCATCAAAAACATCCACATCACATTGTATACTGTTGATTGACGAGTTTGATATGCAGCGTTCGCCTTTTGAATAGTCATATCCAACTTTTGTACAATTCAATTCGTACTCAAAATTTGTAGTTATGGTGCAAAGGAAACACAATACAACAACAACTGAAAATGAAACAGAAAATATACGTTTTCTTCAATTTATGTACAGCATTGAGTTGATATGAAATTTAATGAATCACAAAATTCATATCTAAATCTAATCACAGCTAGAATTCAATGGTATTTCGGAGCGTTTGAACTTCGGAAATACTCATATTTTATCATTTTTGAAACAGACGCCATTGATTGTTTTATAGGGATTTTATGTACAATTCTGTTTATCCTGGAATTCTGTAAAATCGAATAAGTGAAACACACGTATTGGTTTTGTGACACATTAAACACATCTCCGCATGACTTTCAACATTATGTTTTCATTTGAAATTCTATTTAAACCAATCCTATTTTGATATAAACCAATGAAAGTGTAAACATCCCAATTCACAATAGTGAATAGTGCACATTATTTAAATTGTTTTTGTTGGGATAAATAGTTTTGACTGCGATGCACAATATAGACTCTATATTGAGCAGACCCCTCATTTTTGTATCATCAAACATTACAAGTTTAACTTTTTATTTTCAAAATTGAAGATATAACTGCTGCCTTGTGGTGTTCTAAAGTTGTTATTCAGTGTTTCACCGAATGACATTGTTTAACCAGCGCTTATTTAGGTCTCACACCACGTGCATCTCAGTCAAAACTATTTATATACGTCAAACGGATTCACTGTATGTTTTTAATGACCATAATTTGAACAAATATTTGTCAAAAACGCGCTTTAAAAGAATGTGTTTTGTACAATATTCATAAATCGATGTGGGCTACAAAAAAAAACTTTCTTATATTGTTAGATTCTTAATCTTTTTGAGTTTCCAAATCCAGAGGAAGCAATATTCTAAAATGTTCACTTTGTATGCTTCAAGATAAAGTATGTATATGGTTGCACTCTTGGCACAACATCTCTCATTGATGAAAAACGTCAATATGTTGATTAGAAAATCGGTAATAAAAATGTTATTGTGTTCTCAACACAATGATCACAGGATTTCCGCATTTTCATTGTTAAGTCAATTGTGTTCAATCTAAGAACAAAACTGATAGTCAACTGTTACACTACTTACAGCAGCCGGTGTATATTTGTATGAGATTGGAGACTTTTTTTTGCGAATCTCGCTAATGAGCGCCATCTGATTTTAGTGTGAATTAGATGCAAAAACTGAATTTAATTCTGTAGCATTGAAATGAAAAAGTGAAAAAACAACAACAATAGCACGGCCACACAGAGCTGTACATCTATGCGTGCTGATGCATACATACACATATACGCTTTCTTCATTCTTTCATTCCATTGCTATACGTATCTCACTGGTCAACAGATCTATGTAGCCATGTTACTGTTGTTGTTTTTTTTCTCTTTTTCGATTCAATTCATTGTAACTAAATTGAGTTCAACTATGGAATACAAGATGGCACAGATGAGGGGAATTCGCATTTTGTCTCTTCATAGGCTTAGCCGGTTGACTTACAGTCAAAATATGTTGTCGAAAAAGTTTGATCAAACCGCATAATATTTAGTACATTCTATTATTCTTGTCGAGTAAAGTCTACAGTTCGGTGTGGTATTGTCAGATATTGAAATTTAGAGCTATTGAAATTGATTTTAAAAATGTCGACTTCAGCATTCATTTTGATATTTTTATTTGTGCTTTGCTCAAGAGCAATATCAGAAATACAAGTCAAAGAATTTTTGCACGGAATCTCGAGATTTTCGGGTGATATTTTTCAAGTAAATGAAAATATATTTATTGCATGTCATCAACTTACAACATTACACGAAATTATTTAAAGAACATACTATCACGCTGGTCTGTCACCGAACCTTACACTGAATGAGACTTCAAAATGTATGGAGACAAAGTGACAGACCAAAATTACAGTATTTTGTTATAGTGTTGTTTATTAATATTAAAAGCGATGCAGTGAATCTAAAGCTGGTGAAGGAAATATGGTAATTTCACCATTCTCGATATCAATGGGATTGACACTTCTTTCGCAAGGAACTAATGGAACAACTTTCGATGAATTGCGGAAAACATTGTACTTGAATAACAACAAATCAATTGTAGCAGATCAATTTTACGAATTTGATAAATTAATTCGCAAAAGTGCCGGTGAAGCAGAATTATTGATATCAAACCAAATTTATGTTACGAAAGGTTATCCACTGAAGAAAGAGTTTGAAGAAGTGGCTGTCGAAAAATTTTCATCTGGTATCGAGTCAGTGGATTTTGGATCAAATGATACTATGCAATATATCAATCACTTTGTTGAACAAAAAACAAAACAAAAAATCAAAAACTTCCTGAAACCAGGAATGATCGATGAGGGAACTCGTATATTTCTGTTGAATGCCATTTATTTAAAAAGTAAATGGCAATATGCATTTAAAAGAAAATATACGTATAAAATCCGATTTTATTTGAATGAAACGGAATCAGTTGTCGTCGATTCATTATTTATGGAAAAAGCGCCATTTAATTTTGGAGATTTGGAAGATTTAGACGCTCGTGTACTGGAATTAACATATGCCAATTCAAATTTTACGTTCTTGATCATTTTGCCTGCAAAACGAACTGGATTGGATGACTTAGAGAATCGATTGAAAGATTACAATTTAACCAAGCTATTCGATAAAATGACTATCAACAATGCTACTATACACATTCCAAAATTCACAGTCGAAACCGAAATTCATTTGAATAGTATTTTAAAAAATGTACGTAATATATTTAATTTTTTGCAGAAGCTCCTTGAATATATTTAATTATTTGCATAGTTTTGCTTTTGCTTTGATAATTCAACTTTTTTTAAATGTAGTTGGGAGTGATCAAGATGTTTGGAAGTGCGGCTGATTTGAGTAGCTTCTTTGATGCAGAAGAACCACTTTACGTCTCGGATGTCATTCAAAAGGCTTTCATCGAGATAAATGAGGAACATACAGAGGCTGCTATAGCTTCAGGTGAATTTCGGAAATAATTGTTTACATCTTTTGTCAACAAGCTGAATCATGATATTGAGTTGACATTTTTTGATAAATTCAAGGAGCTTCTGCACGAGCCAAGAGTGGAGAGTACGGATTCTATGCTGACCATCCCTTTGTGTATTACGTATGGGACAAAGAGAATCAAATCCCAATTTTGAGTGGACACATAAAGAATTTCGAATGAATTATCAATGAACTTTAGGTAAATTCATAGAATTTTTCGCGAATCGTGATCATAACCATGGTCATTTGATATAGCCAATTTCGAGTATGAAAAAAAGATATGAAAAATTTGTCGTTTATAACACACATAAAATGAGTTGCATTGTTGGAATTAAACAACAGTTTCTGTAGTTTCACTTCTTAATTTCGCTTTTTAGGTGACATGAAGATGTAAGTATATTTTCAACAGACTGGAAAAAATGCATTCTACGCTGTTCGCTTATTTTCTTTCGCTCGCAATTCTGGAACAAAAAAATTTTTCGGTGGCAGATTAAAAACAATTGCATACTTAGTTCATATGAGTGATACGAATTGAACGATTCTCTGCATATTTTCAAGAGAGAGAAAAAAGAACATATTCTACACACGAAATTGTTTAGGAGGTGTTGTGAACAGTGTGAATGGCCCCATAGTGTTTCGTTACGGTGTATTAATTTTATCGGATAATTTGCATAAAGTCCAATCTGTTCTGATCCCTATACCTAACTTCCACGAGGCACTTTCAAAATGAAAATGATTGAACAAACCTCTGATTGAAGTCGAATTGTTTGTATTTAGAAAGCCGAAATACTAGGCTGTGATTGAACCCTGAAAAAAGCCAACACTTGATGCGATTTGTACACAGGGGATCACCAATTTATTAAAAAACACCCAATATTTTCCCGAAGCTAAAGGAACAACTGAAATGGTTAACATAATTTCATTTTTATCAGTTAAAAATAATAATGATAAAAAAATTACAAGTTTAAGCGATATCATTCAATCCTGCAGAATTTGCGATTTAATTGTCTTCTGTTTGCGAAATAAACAAATTCATATTATGTACACAAATAAAAGAGAAATGAAAAATTATTATCAAAAGTTGACGCACTTTTGCTATTTGCCGATTAAAAATGTGTGATGTGAACAGCGTGTGAGAACTCCGACAGAATGGTATTTAAATGCATGTCGTTTTTGCAGAAAGCCAGAGTGTTCACCAACCAAAGCGGAGTGAACTTTCCCTTATAAGTTTAAAAGGAGTACATTTTCTGATAGGAAATATTTGTTAAAAAGTCATCATCATCATCCGAAATCATTTGTTAAAAATTTAATTAAAAAATAATAGCAAAGTTAATAGTAAAAAAGTTAATGAAGTATTCTATTGTGCTTTCAACGGTTTTATTAGGCAACTGGGCGCTGCTTGTAAGCACAGCTGGCTATGGCGATGAAGACGAATGGGACGGCTTTTGTGAGAATGGAACTCACCAGAGTCCAATCGATATTGATACAGAGAAGGCAGACGTGAAATTATATCCAAAACTCGTCTTTAAGAACTTTGAAAACATATTAAAAAATACCACTATTGGAAATACTGGCCAGTGGCCACACGATACAAATTAATATAGCAGATAATCAAGAATATTTGGTCAGTGGTGGCGAATTAAACGGTACATATCGAATGGCTCAAATGCATTTTCACTGGGGAGCCGAGCATACCATCAATGGGCAACGATACGCTTTGGAGTTGCACATTGTGACATACAATCAACGTTACAGCAATGTTCCGGAAGCTGTTCAACATAAGAATGGTCTTGCTGTGTTCGGAGTATGTAGAACGAGTATTTGAGGCTATCATTAACAGAGCGGTACGGTGTCCCCCGGTTTTATGCCAAATTTTTCATGATCTCAGAGAGTGTGCGGCCAAATATTTTCCACATAACAAAGAAGTACGGTATTCCGCTGTGTCTGGATTTATATTTCTTCGATTCTTTGCACCAGCGATACTCGGACCCAAATTATTATTACTACCTGTGACTTAAATTATGTCAATCTCTCTCAAATTCTTTATTTTTCAAAAATCGAACCACCCTAATCTTGGTGCTCGGTTTGATGAAATTCAAATGTATTAAACCTTTTATTGGAGATGATTATATGCACCTGCTCACAGGCAAAGAGACTTTTTGTTGTTATCATTATCTGTTCTTCGTACTATTCTCAATGTGTCCACAATTGTTTCCAATGTGTGCATATTCCGATCTCTTGTTATTGTCTTTGTTAATTTACACAAACGATCCATTCAAATGTTTAACATCACATGAAAAGGATGCTGCAAACTTTCAAATGGAACACATTTATGATTCAAATGTTAAAATTTTCTAATATTCAAAGCAATTTTATGGGTGTTTGAATCTAATAAGCCAAATTCGTTGATTTCACTTCAAAACTTTTTCTTAACTTTTTCATAACTTTAAACTTCTTTGTGGTTTTTACATTTCATGAATCGTTTGCCAAACGGAAAAAAGGAAATTTCGAGAAAAGTATAAGCTCTGCTTCGATTTCAATTAAATTTTGAATACCACACCAGAAAGCGTATGAGGCAAAACGAACTAAAAGCACATAAAATATATTTACTATAAAATGTATTTACTATAAATATATATTACTATTATATATATAAATACTTTGTATTTTCCACGTTAAATTTATATATTTGATATATGAATTTGATAGGTGAGTGTTTCGTAACTTTCAGTCTGTTTTCAATTGGATGTGTTCACTGAAAAATACTTGCATCCCCACACTCCGAGTGTTTGCATTCCTCAAAATCAGAGCATATACTGAGCATAGATATATATCCGGGATATTTTGTGAGTATCCGATATTTATCGCAGCCAGACATTATAATGGAGTGAAAACAATAGAAGTGATTGTTATAGGTCTAAGTATAAAACCATTTACATTACTACAATCACTATAACAATAACATCTATTGTTTTTACTCTATTTCAAAGTCTGGCTCCAATGAATATCGGATACTGACAAAATATCCAGGATATATATCTATGCTTATTATATGCTCTGCTCAAAATCAATAAAGTATGCCTTATTGCCACTTGATGGAATTGAGGTTCGTATTTGAAAATGTGATGATTTTATAAATAACATGAAATGGACTGCACGATGAAAATGACTGTCATCCATATAATTTGAGACTTCGGAGTCATTCATATAATTTGAGACTCGCAAAATTTCTTTTCAACGGAATTGACATTGAAATGAAAACCCCAGGAAACCTTTGTACTCTGATACAAATTTTTGGTAACCAGCGAGAATATTCTTTGATATATTTGATACTACTTGGTATTTTATGATATTAACGAACATTTCTTGTCATTTTATTTGCAATTTCGGTTCGGCTAACCAAATTATACAGATGATACATAATTGTTACATTGTTGAAAATTTCCGCATAATGAATGTATATAATTGTTGCCCGTGTATGTCGAAATGCATAGCAAAAATATTGACTTTAATTTTTGACCATTATCACGCCATTTTCATGCGCTTTTGGAGCAAACTGTGCAATTTATGGGCGGCACTAAAACGGTCGTCTGTTTATTGATCAATAAATTGAATTGACTGCGCTTAACACCACAAGCACGAGAAACAGCAACAACGCGACACTCCATTGCACGCATCATCATCATCGGCCACGCTCTGGTTAAATGTGGCATTCGCCCACCATACAGCCTCTGGCTTACTGACGTGAAAATAAAAACGTGCCACATTTAAGGCGCTAATTTTTTTTTATTTTACGGCTAACTTTTTTCATGACTTCACAATAACACATCACGTAAACATTCTCTCACACAGCAATTAAATGACGCGTGTAATGTTTGTTATATGTTGATTAAAACTTTTTTTTGTGAGTAAAGTGTGCATTGTGAACGTAAAATGCTAATTGTAATTTAACTGTAAATGTTACGTGAAATATGTAGCAAAATTTCAAAAATAACTCAAATTTTAACATCGTTCGTCAATTTATTGCAATTACCAAAATACAATTCGAAATTTCAAAGATTTATGAATGTTGAGGCGGTCCATTTCTTGAAAGAAAATACTTTTCTTCGAACACAATGTAGTTGTTGGTTTTTTATGCGATTGAGTTCAATTTGTACAGAATTAAATCGTAAACTAAATGCAATGCTTTAAAATTATATAATATTAATTTGTCTTTTGTTTGAGTTTCTGAAATAATCGGTCACCAGAAATGAATCCGTGTTAAATAGAATGTAATTTAACATCTGCAAACAACTTAATAGACGACGTTCGGAATATTTCTCTTTGCTACTGCGAAATTGTACCAGACTGCATATTTTAAAATTAACCTGATACCACTTGGTTATTATCACATGACAATCAATGCTATTCATTGAGAGAGAAAAGTACAGAAGAGAATGGATGGAAAGACAGTAGGAAAATAACAAAAAGCTCATTTCAATTTTGGTTGCAATTTTCATTTTATCAATTTTAAATGTTGATTTAAGAAAATGAAAATACATTTCACTCCCATAATTTTGTTTGCGCAATTTTAAATGAGTTATCGAGTTGTGTTTTGGTTATAAATGACCAAACTGCATCACCGTACATGATGCGAACAAAGCAACTTCAAAATGAATGCAAATAAAATTAAATGCGAAAAATATTTAAATTGAAATAGATTTTATTGAAGTAGAGTGGTTTTCATTTGAATTGTTTCTTTTTAGTGCGTTTGAATTGTACTTGGAAAATTTTGCTCGCAGTCACAACAGTTCGCAGTGTTCTTTCTTTATTCCATTTTGTTCTTCTTTGAAGGCGGCCGCATTTCAATGTATGCGAAAACATTGTTGTTTTTATTTGATGTGATGTGATGCAATGAAACGGTCCATAGAAAAAGCTTTGAAACCACATGAAACCAAATGGCAAAATGAAATAAGTATATATGCAATGCATATTTTTCAGTAGATAAAATAAAAGTGGCCGATGGCAATTTGTGTGTCGAGATTTTACCAACTCACAATTGTATACTTTTAAAATGATGAACAGTATGAATGAATACGTGTTTTTAGATAAAAAAAATAGTTTAAGTAGTGTCTTGCGTTCGAACTAAATTTCAATTGAACATAGAATGTTCTCTTTCTATATATGTCCTCTCTTTCCATTCGAAAGAAATCCATGGATATGTGTGCAACGTTCATTTTTTTGAACCAAATAACAAATCGCCCGTGTGCAAAAATATCGGAAAATTTTGGACATTTTGACCGGATATATGTTTCGAAACGGCTGACATCCCAAAATAGTCAACTGTGTTGGGTTGAAAATTTGTATGAATTGTCGAGGTCGATCGTTTCACTCTCGTTTAGCTTAACTGATAATAAGTAATTTTTTGCACACGGGGAAATCTATATATTCTCCGCTTTGTCATTCAACTCGACGAATGAACCATTAAACTTGCAAAGAGTTAACTTTGACTGAATGAAGATGAGTTTCTGATTAATTTTATTATTTCAAGCTTTATGTGAATATTATCATTTTCATTACAACTTTGACTGATATATCAAATTCACTTTACAAAGATGATATTATCTCGCAACAGAAATTCGAAGCATTTGCAAGCAGAATTTTCAATTGGTATATCAACTAGCAAAAATCAATATAAAATTGTAGTATTCAAATCCAGTACTTTTGAAATATTCGCAAAATGTGAGCGATGCCAAAAATATTCTTGTGAAATACTATTGATATTTATTTTGTTCATTTTATTTGCTCTGTATTTCAGCCACAGTCAAGATTTAAATGATGAAATTCGATTTTGAAAATCAACAACTCGAAACAGATCCATATTAAATAATGCCAACCATTGCATTTTGATAGCGTTGAAAATTTATTTATTGAAGTGATAAAAAAATGCCACATATTTTATACATCAAAAAAGATGATGAAAAATGCTTGCGAATCCATTGTTTATTCTAGCATGTCCAATCATGTATCGAAAAAAATATCAAAATTCACATTTACCCGTTATCACTTTTTTAGCTCGTGATTCTGTGCATAAAACTTGACCGCGTAACGGATGACACACGGATATGTAACGCTCCAATGTGAAGCTTACCGTTAAATAAATTGATATATACACTGAAAACAGGAAATGATTTTATTATTTTAACGAAATATACAAATAATGGTTGGAAAAAATTGTAGACCAGTAATACTTACGTGATGCATCATGAAACCAATTTGAAAGAGCAAATGCACTCCAATACAAAACATGACCGTACCTATAACCAGGATAGTGTTGTAATGATAAAACGAATGCACAAAATAAATTTACTATATCAGCAAGTGCGAGTGCAGTTAAATAAATATTTGTAGAGCATCTCATGCGTCTCCTGTGCGTACGAAAAAGAAGTATAAAACAAAATAATGATAACCGAAACAAAATTAATTTTAATTGTAGAAATGTTCGAAGTTAGTATTGTTCAACTAACTTCGAAGTTAGTTATGAAGAAGCAGCTCATTAAATAACAAAATTGTGCACAAATCAGACCATATTAAGAGGAAAACCAACAAAGTATGCTGAGTAAAATATTCTCTCATCAACAAAATTACAATGTTTCTTTCTATTTTCCATGTCGAACGAGATTTTAAAACTCTCCTGAATTCTCGTGTATGTGCAGGTGTACAGCCGTTTTCGTTTTTTCTTCTACACGAATTAAGAATGTGATCACTGTCGATGCATTTTTGTGTACTACCACAAACTTAAACAATAATAATCCAACATTTATAATGAAGATGTGTACCAAAGATGAAAAAAGCCGCTTTAAATTTTTAATTAAAAAACTTTCGGAATATTTCAACAGAACGGGTGTATGTGTGTTTTTATATGAATCGGAGCCAAAATTGTCTTGTGGTTGAATTTAAAAAAAAGTTTCTTTATCTTCTTCATGCATTGTTGCTTTATTATTATTATTTGAGCTCGCTCGCATACTACATAATACATATATTGTTAATTCATTTGATATTTTTGAAGTTGAACAAACTTCTGACGGCATTTTTCTCGTTTCATATGCTGTACATACATCATCGTTTTGAAAACCATCTCAACGTCAACGTTTATTTATTTATTTTATTCTGTCGAAGTTACGGAGAAACATTTTCAGCCGTTTATTTTTTGACAATGCTGTTTGTATTCGTTAAATTTCTTGTGGTTATGAAAACTTCGACTTTTGTATGCCATTTTAGTGAAATAAATAAACGAAAGAATAATTTCATTTTTCCCCAATCTTTTGCCTTTGAAAGAGAATGACGACCAACTAAAAGAAAAACTTTTCCCTTTTATAATAGTAAATTCATAAATTTTCCACGCAAAAATGATTTTTAATGACATTGTGGTTTCGGAGTTCAAACGGAACATTGTTTCTCTACTTGAATTCTAACATTTTTCTTCTCTTTTCAATAGAATTTTTCATTTCATTTCCCCCTATTTTTCTTTCAATCATACACACGCTTGCATTCACCCTCACTCTTAATCGCTGTCTTTTTTTCTCTCTCTTTGAAATTTTAGCCGGGTATTTCTTGGATGTAATAAACGTTTATTTCGGTAAAGTTTACCTGGTTAAAACGATGACTGTTAGTAAATTGCCAGCTATACCGATTGTAACGACGCATGGAACAATTATACGTTGAATGATATATCGTGTTTGTTGTAAGGTTTCTGAGCTCCAATCTTCACCGTCATTCTGAGCCATTCTCTATCTACAAACCGCCTGCTGAACTGCGAAAAAGAAAAATACAACAAAAATTTTTAACTTCAGAATGTGTATTTCAACAACGAATTAATAAATGAACTCGCTTAGATGATGACACAATCAGAATTATAGACAGAATTAATTGAGATATTGCAGCAATAATTTTTGTATTCTCCGATGGTCTATACAAAGTATTTCATTCTCTCACTATGCGATGAGGGATTTAAGTTTAAATTTAGATAATCGTCAAGTTGGACAACGAAATTTATTGAATTGAAAACAACATAAATCGAGCACGTAAACATGACAAAAACTCGAATATCACTTCAACCGTAACAGATATTGCTGTCGGAAAGAAATGTGTACACACCGTACATACAAATAAAAGCTGTCAGTAGGTGCCAATTTAGCATATCGTTGTGATGTCGTCAGAGATATTTTCCGTTTTTGCCAAATTACGCACATGATTAAGAAAGCAACGATTCACATTGAAAGTATTGTTATAGTTCTGCCAATAACAAACATTTTGTTTGCTTTCTTTTTTTCTCGTCGAAATTGAATGTGAAAGACAACAACGGCACGAGATTGAGCCGCATTTGGCTCAAGTGCCAAAAGTCAAATCGACATTCTGATGCCACATCAAAATACACCACCACATCCGTGTGTTTACTCCATTAAAATGTTGGCAGTCAATAAAGTCCGCACGAAAAACATGTTCAAATCAAAGCATCTTGTAGTGTAATACCATTAATCAAGATGAAAATATTGTCATTTGCTGCATACAATCCTATTTCACACTGAATTCTTAGAGTGATAGTAAATTTTAATTTCGAAATCATCAGCAAAATGGTCGCCGCGTCACCAATCTATATTGTCGTCGAATTCCTCAAAGCTAGTGGTTTATGTAAATTTTATTAGTTTTGAGAATTACCAAATTTTCATTTGGCTGTAAAATAAGGTCGAAACGTGTTGAACTTGAATGAAAACATGTTGCGTTTTTATTTTCTATAAATAAATCTTTACATTTTTTGTGAAAATGTAATACAGAATGTGGCACATACATTTAATTTAAAACTGTTAATATCGAAAGCTGAATTGTTGCAATGGACAATAATCATAATGACAGAATTGGAAGGAACGCTCGACGACATTCATATTCTTGAAAAAATTGGCAAAATAATTCCATGTGACATCCATAATAATTATTTCTCGTTCATATTCCAAACCCGTTCTTATTAAAATTCCAAACTTTTTCTTCGGTCTAACAATCGATGGTCTATTTTGTTTTTCTGAAAGTTTGTTAACAGCTACGAATACTGTAAAAAATGAGTACTGCAAAAACATATGGTCTTATTGCAGTAAATATTTGCTTTTGACGCAAGCCTTTTACCGCAGTAAGAATACAGTAACTTTGGGATTTCTACTTATTTGTTTTACGTTGTTTTCCATCGATCTATCTCCGTCTCCCCCCCAAAAGCGGTCAATCCGTTGTCCTTTTCATTGTTTAGCGCGTAAAAACTTCGTCTGAATAAAGGAAATTCCTTCGTTTTGTTGTATGTACATTGGGCTGAACCAAAACGAAAGAAAAGTAATCATACTGCCATTGTTCGTGTGTAATATTTGGTTTCTCTCTCACTCTCTTATTTCATTGTTTGGGTCAGAGAAATCCAAAAACTTTGTTGTCACATCAAAAGTTTGACTAGTTGTTCTTTTTCTGTTTTATGTTTTCATTCGGAAGTTTTCGCCTTTGCCCTAAAATGTGTGACCGACAACGATGACGACAACTCTTCGTCCGGCATTTCGTTAAGTCAGCTCGAAGTCGGGTGATTATTGAATAAAAGTCGAAGACAAGAAATTGTCTCATTATATGCACAATTAGATAAACAGTTTGTTTTCTATGTATGGGTGCTGGACGTATATAGATATCTAACTTTTGATGGAACACATGTGGTGTGCCGTTAAATTGACATTGTTGAAGAAAGTTTTACGCGACCCTTCTCCATAACCATTTTACGGCCATTCCAGATCGGAATGACCAGTTGGCTTTTTTTGATTAGTATTTCGTTTTCCAGTACGAAATCATTTTCACACTCTTCAGTCGGTGATTTTGAGCGAAAGAAAATTGAGAGGCATTATGTTGTTTTTATGGAATCACTTGAAATTTATAGCTGAAATCTGCGAATTTTCTATGGTATATCTACAACATACATCGTTTTGAAACGTTTCCGAATATATGTTATTATTGATGACTGGATGGCGAATTGTTTGCACATTCAATTAATGCTTACACGAAACGTGCTTATTTCGGAATTGCAAATCGAATATAATGAGTCTCATGTGTGTGAAAACTGTTGCAATATGTTTATTTATCAATATTTATCAAATATCGTGCAGAGTTGAACATTGTTCAATTTTGAAACCGTGAATGTAACAAAGATCCTTATAACTAATTGTAAATAATGCGTGGAATCAAGGGACGAACGGTATCATTCTGTGAAAACAGTTAAAAAGAACGATTCCAAAATGAACCATACCCCCAGAATGCGCTAATGGTTAGCAATTGTGGCGAGCTGATGTCATTAGATCGTGGAAAATTTTCACTGGAGCATAACATATTTACGATCCTTCAAGCAAATTGAACAATAAATTTACGAGTGTGTATTTTATGAGCGGGCGCACATTATGATGCATGCATGTCGCTATTTTAACTTGTTTGCTTGGCTTTAATCATTTTGTTGTAAACAGCGTTGGCATGGAATACACATTTCGTTCTGTTCAAACGTCATTACAGCAAACCGCAATGTGATAAAATTCGATTTACATGCACATACACAGGAAATGAGGAAAGCGCGTCATTCAACGAACCGAAACATCATCGCGTATTATATACACTTTGACACGTTATGCAATTTTCTATTTACTAAAGTAATAGCCATATCACGTTCATGCTGCCATTCTTGAGTTCAAACACACAGCGAGACGGAGAGAGGCTGGAAGCGGATAGAGAAAAGAAAATTGATCGGAAGTAAATGATTTTGACATACTATGGATTTTTTCACATCGAAAAAATGACAAATTCATTCTCGAGCTGAAAGGAATTCAGCAACGAGATACCTTCGAAAATGATAGAACTTTTTTGTTTAGTTTTCGTCAATTTCTACAGAGTAACTTTTAAAAATATCCGGATGACCCTTTAACTTACGACCTTGCACATCGAAAAATATCGAAAAATGATTGTCAATCACCCAAAGACAATATCGATATGCACGCAATACATGTTTTTCGGTAGAAAAAAACGGTTTTGATTCGCATAAGATGAAAAATTTCACTGATTCATGGCACATTTATTCAATGAATTTAATAGTAAATTCGATCAATCGAAAATGGCTATGGCATGATTTGTGATGTTTTTCCGCAATTTTTGCAGAGTTTTTAATACAAATGCCAATGATTGATTGATTATCAATGTAAACGAATCACACACATCGCGTTCAAATCAATTGGCATGCAATTTTCATTGTAATGCACGTTTCATGAACTTCCGCATTTACCGCAGACACAGAAGCAAATAAAGAAAGAGAATGAAAGAGAGAGATTGAGAGATGATAAATGTATATAATTTCGGGAGGAATATTTTCGATGAAGAATCGATATTTGGTTTTGCTAAAATATAAATATTTGTGAAATCATCATCATCATCATAATCTGTCACATATGCCATTCAATGGAACATTTCTTGATCCATTTGTCGTGATATAAATGGAATTTTGCATTTACAACGCTTTTAGAATAATAACGCTTGTGGTTAGCAATAAATAATGTTGGTAGTAGTTGAATTTCTATTTCGAGTGAATTTGTTTGCATTTTCAAACGGAATGGACATTTTCATCTTAATATATACAATGCAAAATATGTGTAGAACATATACAATGACAAATAACATTAGTTTTGGAAATTTGCGCAATAAATGTTATAATTCTCATTGAATATATCGATTCGATGCAATGAATGAATTTGATTTACATACGGTTTGTGAGCATAGCGAATTATAATATTTGCCACTCTTTTTACTGTTTGTTCATCTCTCATACAAATATATAATACATGAAATCATCTACCTGTAACTATGCATCACATACGTTTTGAACGAAATCATAAATAATTTCGGCCCATTATACATTATGGACTGAGAATTATTATAAAAATGCACTCAAAAATAAATCGGTGACTAATGACCAATATTGATAACATTATATATTTAATTATTTGTTAATTTACAAACTGACTATTGGTTACATTTCAGAAAACTTGTTTTTATTTTGTACATTTGAACCTTTAATTAGGTTAATATCGAAAAATAGTCTTGAATATTTTTAAGAGAAAATGTAAAAATTATGTTATTAAGAACATCAACAAAAGGATTGAAAAATATTTTGTCGATTTGTGAAAACATTTTTAACTGAAGTATTGGTGATAGCTTAAATTCATTTAAAAAAAAACTTCAATTCTCAATTTTTTAACTGGAATTTTAGCACAAATTTAAAAATAAATACGGAGGAGAAAAATAATTTTTATCAGGTGTTACTCAGTTAACACTTCATACGCACATCCGTTTCAATCACGTAATACAATTACGACAGCGGACATTCGATATATAAATATTTCACACATCACTGGCCATTCATTCGCGGTGGAAACATCACGTAGAAAAAGATGACGTACATACATAAATATGATAAAATAAATTCGAATGACAAATACTCTTCGAATCTATCAGACTCGCACCCATTCAAATGATGTGTATTGCTGAAAATTTATAATGCTTGAGATTTTATACAATTGATAAAATCATAAACGTAGAGCAATTAATTTCGGTGTTTGCAAACCTATTGTGTTTGTTTAATATTCTCTCTGTCAGCTGTTTTCATGTCCACCAATAAATATATTTCTGATTTTCCATCGCTACTAGAACGCGAGACTACCCATTCCTCCCTCCCTATTCACTTGCAATAGCAGAAATGGATTTGGTTTTAATTTTTAATTTTGTTGATTCGATTATGCAGAAAGAAATGGCTGATAAAAAATGAAATCTAATCACCAAAGTGGCACCATTCATCAAACAAATGATAAATGATAAAATTGATTTGGTATAGCATGTAGCGGCCAATCGAGTGGAAACGCATACATACGTGTGTGTAAATAAATTCATCATTTGGCGCCAATATGATGCTTAAATAAATGAAAACAGGTTGAACATTTTTGGTGCAAAAATCGATATTTCTCGCATGACTATATCGGAAACTCAAGCATTTCCATTTATTCATTTGGATAAATTTCAATTTTATTTTTATTAAATCACATCAGAGAGTCATTCTCTCTGGCACATATTTAACATTTCAAAAAATATTGAACTGTTTTGATGTAGTTTCCTTTTCTCTGAATCACCTGTCAACATTTGGCGCATGTTCAAAGTAGTTATATTTTTCAATCGATTGCCTCGTGAAAATATAAGCCGACTTATTTCGGGCATTATTGACTGGCTAACCTTGATAGTGCTGTATTCATGATTGCTTCTGTGGTTAAATGTGCCAAAATGGTCAAATAAATGAAATTTTTACGTTTTCGTACATAAATTTCTCTTGATCGGTTATTTTATTTGCAGTCATTTCCACATGGATTCAAACCACTAATCCGAAATTCTGTCGAAAAGAATATCAAGAGAAATGAAGAAATGTGTTCGGGAATTTTTAAATGCGAATCTACACAATATGTTAGTGTCAACATCAACAGAGACACCCAGAAGAAATAAACACAGCCGTTACGTCTCTGACCAATGTGTAATAATAGTATTGCGCAAAACTCCGTCAATTATTCATCTTATATTTTCCTTTCAACTAACACAAACATTCAACTGTCTCGTATTCATTTCGAAGTAGCATCACATCGATGATTTGCACAATAACATTGGAACTTACACACAACTGTTGTATGACGTCGAAAAATGTACAAATATTCGATGTTTTTTTTAGTTATTTGTCTCAAATAGATATTGTTAAACAAAGAAATTTGTTTTGTGTGGTTCTAAATTCGGTGGACATTGTCTTTTATTTATTTGAATATCTATCATAAGAGCCACTCTTTTTCATTGATAAATTATAACATTTCACAACGATGATTATAATAAAAACATTATATTTATGAGTTTATTTACACCAATTAAACTATATACTATTCTGTATTTGTAGTAAAGCACAACATTTAAATAAAAAATTTGATTATAAAAAAAGCTGTTTGATTGAGACACTATTAAAGCGTTTCATTCGCACATTTTTGCAGACACGAGAAAAAAAACAAATTCGAAAAGCCGGTGATTGAGCGCGCGTGATTACAGCGATCTTATTGCGTCTACTATTCAACAAATACTAAATATACACAGCCAAACAAATCGACATTCTGTTCGAGCAGAAAAGAGAAAATCTACGAGAAAAGTCGGAAAAGGAAAACAAGCAAAATATCCATACAACACCCATACGAAACGACTGCAAGAGACTGTTTATATACACATATCCGCCGACTAAAAAAAGACCCAACGACCAATGAAATTATTAATAAAACAGACTACTCTAAATTCGAACGATTGAAATAACAATATGAAATGCACACAACAACAACAAATATATCGAAGGAAAGAGAAAAAAAGCATAAAAATGCGAAATTAATTGATAGAGAGCACAAAAGTTTGGCGCAAAAATCCAATACTATATTATAGTTTTCGAGAGAAAAAGGAACAAAAAAGAAGCGAACAAATTGCGAGAGGAAGAGAAACAAACGAATCAGCTTCGGCAATTTGATGGCTAATTTAATTGTTGGCGTTTCGATTGGTGTTGTTGTTGTTGATAACGTTTTTCGGTTTTTGTGCTATTAATATACATTTTTTGCTGTATGTTAACAGCTGATCTTGATTCCATATTTTGAATTGGTTTTAATGTGCGTACTTTAAAAAAAACCAATCTCTTGAATAGTAACGACGTACAATTGGAATTTAATTTGAAGCATGCACGTCATTTAAAACGAATTTGTCCGATTATGATTTTGCGATTAAACTTAACATATTTCATATGCGACACAAGCTTGCAATGCTTACGTTTTTCACAATAACTCCAATATTGGCTGATTCGATACGGATATTTTTAAACATTTGAATTGATTCCCGACTTTTATTTTTAGATTCAACGTGAATGATGTATGTGTGTATTTCTTTTCTCATTTTTATATGTTTCTCGATCGTAAAAATCAAACGACAGTATGTAACGCTTGCAAGCATAAATGCATACGGTAAAACTCAGTAAAAAATACAATTGAATGAAAAGACGGAGAGAGCTCAAAAACGTTCGTGATGCATTACGAATATTGTACATTTCCTGTGAGTGTGCGTCGATAAAATAAACTCTGACCGAACGATTTAGAGGCGACTTTCGTCGAACGTATGAACGAGATGACAGCAGGAGATTAACAGCAGAAGATGTTTTATTCTATTATTAAAACATTTTTTCTTGCTTTTTTTTCTTCTTCCATTTATCTTCTTCTGTTGAGTTTCTTTATCACTTGCTCACGTAGTCCCTTTGGCTCTTAAATGAAAAACAAAATATGACGAGTATATATAGCGCTCGATTTATTTATTTGGTTGACATCTTCTATCTCAATTAATTTTTATTGCGGTTGTTAGTAGTGTTCATGTGCGCTGACGTTTCAAGCGGTAAATATATTCCATTTTGTGCGCTCGAGCGTTCGATAACACAGAATTTTAATCTTCTTGTTTATAAATTCATTTCGAAACGCTTCGAAGAAATGTTGTGAAGTTCAGAATTTGAACCATCAAACTCATTTGCTTAATATACGTATATATAGATCGTGTACAAATATTTAACATTTATTTTACAAACTTTTCAATTTTATAAAAGATTACACATTAATTCATGATGTTCAACTTTGCAATTAGCCATTTCGGTATGATGAAAATGTAAACGACCACAATTAAGTCGAGTTACTCAAAATCTTTTAATTTTATGAGAAAAGTGTAGACTTCCATTATACACTAATATCATCATTCTGTGCACTATTGGAAAACAAAAAAACGCGTTTCAACTATGAAATTGACATTACTTTGGTCATTGTGGTCAAGCTATTCTTGGGGCGCTTGATGAGAATGCTTGATTTACTTCACTTGTTTTATATGTATTGCCCTGTGATGTCAAAACAATGACCACAATTAATGATCTTTTTGTACATTTAACTGTATTTCATTTGCATATATAAGTTACATCTATTTATCAGAGTTTAAAACGGACCAATTTTGAACTCCTGCGCCCGACCGACTGATAAATTACCAACATCGACCGATTCATTCTATATACTTCAATTATTATTTAAAATCGAATATAATGTCATGAATACCATATTATTCGGACATCGGTCGGGCTTGCAAACATTGCTATTTATCTATGTAAGTATGGATAGCGCAAGGCAAATTCTATGTATATGAAAACATCACGATAAAATTATTAACTTAATTGCATACAAAGAAACTTCTTATCTCATAATTTTTTTTATATACACGAAGTTATTTAAATGTTAGTCACTGTTGGTGCAAGACAAAAATGAAAATTACTTTTTTTTGTTTTCAAATTTAGTTCGTTATTTAAAGAGCATTTGTTTATGCGTTGGCAATGAGCCAAAACTAATTTGAATATTATTATGCAAGCAGCGATATGGTACTCACAAGAACTATCATTTCGCTTAAGCGCAAAATATGCAAACATCGAAACAATAAATATTAGAAGTAAAAAAAAATAACTTTTTCGTACACAAACATTTTTCTGTGAGCATCTGTAAATTCAATGACTCATTCAATCGCTTTTCTCTCACATGCAATCTTCAAAAAGGTAGATCTTGTACAACGTAATAAAGCAATTCGAATGTGCATGTTTAAAATTGTCAGAAAAAATATTTAAATTATAATGATATTTTTGTGTTCAGTGGTTAATACTTGAGAGTGAACCGTTTTAATTACTTTTGGCATTGGATGATAATGACATCAAAAATAGAACAACATTTTCGTGTGAAATATAAAATATGATGGTTATTGGAATTTTTCATTGATTAATGTTCCAAAAAAGTGTGCCGTTGATAGGGACTATCGTTTGCTTTGATATTATGTGTTATTTGTTTACTGCGAAGGCGATTGCAAAAATTATTCTGTTCATATGTATAAATCTGTGTGTTTTTTGCAGACAATATATTGAACTAACTGGTCAGTTGAGCTGACAGTACGTTAGCCAGCTAAATGGACCAAAACAATAGAAGTTATTGTTATAATGAACAATCACATCTATTAAAACAAGAAAAGTGATTCATCATTAAAACAATAACGTCTATTGTTTTAGCCCATTTAGCTGGCTAACGTACTGTCAGCTCAACTGACCAGTTAATTCAATATATTGTCTGGTTTTTTGGTACTTGAAAAGATCAAGGCCAATGAGATTTATGCAACGTTTCGTTCTTTTGCAAAGTTTATAAACAAATTCAATTGAAATTGTGTATCGCCAATCGGATGTTGATTCAGAGAGAAATTGTTATTTTGTTTTCATTCTATCGTATAATTTTAATCATATTCTTAGCACAGTACCGAACCAATGGCCATAAATCCATTCGAAAACATAATAGAAAATCTATGCCAACGAATAAATCATTGCATTAGCTTCTGTGTCCGAATTTCAATCTATGTGTAGAATCCACATTTTCTACACATTTTATTGCCATTGCATAAAGATCCCGGTTGCCAACGTAAAATCCCACGGTAAAACCATTTTTATTTTGATCTAATTGACTTGTGTGACATCCTTCGGATTGTAGCCATCGTATAGAGTGCAAAACCGCATGAAATGACAATCTTTTCGAATGGAAAAATCCAAACTAATGGATACACAAACTTTCCCTTTTTGCAGTCTGTTAAAAGAACCAAAAACTTCCGAATGTAGAACACATTATAGGAACACACACAAATTTGTTCTAGTTTGACATAATTTTGTACGAGTATGTGTTAGCTGAATGCCAAAACGAAAAAAATATGTCTGTAAAAACATTCAATTTGGGATGTACTTTTCCTATTTTGGATCGCTTCAACTCAATAATGACCTCTTTATCTTTTACTTCAATTTTATGTGAATGACAGTCGAACCAAATTTTGATTACCAATATTTACGACCATTTTCAGTTATGCTAAAGATTTTTTTTGCATTCAGATTTTATCTCATGGTCAAATAATGTACAAGTAACTTTTTTTTGGAGAGGAAATGGAATTAAATATAGTTACAACTGAAGGGAATAAATGGTACATTAATGATTGCAGTGTAAGTATTTCTATGATCAATAGAATAAATATGCTTTGATTCCAGTTATAATAATCGATTCATGTTTGCCAAATCGAACGAGGACCACTTTTCACTGGATTTCATTGCTTCGCTCTTTCTTTTTTGTTTACTCCAACTACGTCACCTCTTCGACGGTCGTCTAATGAAAGCACTGACCTTATAATTGGTTTTAAGTTGTTTAGAGATGGTTTTTGTATTGTTTGCATTGCCAATTTTCATTTCGACCACGTCTTTTTTTATGGCTTTTCCTTTTAAGTATTTCGTGTGATTGTAGAATAATAAAATTTGCAATCGCAGAAGCCATAAGATATTTGCAGGCGGTTATTGTATACCAGTTTCGTCCTATTGATACATCGGGGAGCCCATATCTCAGACAATCTTTCAAATTGAATGAGAAAATGCCAAGAATTCGAAAGCTTTCTCAATTTCAATTTTTAATTAGGTTATCTAAAATTGGAATCACGTAGCTGATGATGTTAATATTAATTCATTTGTCGTACACGTAGCCGATTCGTCGTCTCGGTGCAGATTTTATTTGTTCTCTCTCTCTCTCTCTCTCTCTCTCTCTCTCTCTCTCTCTCTTTCCGTTGTATGCTAGTGGAAATACAAATAGCGTGCACTGTGTACCAGAGATGATGGAATGGTGTGGTGAGATGGGATATGTATAGTGGAAGCAACAAAGCATAGAAATGCGTCAATAGCATTGATTGCTGCACAATGTTCGCACAGCATCTTCTAGCACACAGTTGGAATTCATTCGGTGTTTTTTTCTCAATATTTCTCGCTACGATGTGGCACCTTATCAAAATGCTTTGATTCAAGAATATTAGTTCTTGCAAATTCAAATAAAAACAAAAAAATATATAATTCGCATCTAGCAGCAAAAATCTCATGAATTTCAAATCAAATTTTGACATAAATACATAACATTCCTTGAAAATTCTTTATATATATATATATGTGATACTTTTTTTCGGTATAGATATTTATGCATAATTCCACTTAAAAATTAAGAATTTCGAATAGATGTTCAGATGTTTGTTGTTACATTTGATCGCTTGGTACTTGCGCACAGAGTGTATTTTCAATTTTGACGAACAAATGACAATTTCTATCAATTGGAATCCTTCGTTTTTTTTATTTGTAATCCAATCAACATTTATTCTCAAATAGACGGTAAAAAATATTTCACATAATATTTCATATTT